ACAAAATGGAGGCCAACCACACAATTCTGGGAATCATGGCCCAGCCAAATTGATACACACATTTTTGGGGGGACATAATTCAAACCATGACACCCCGCATCCCTCATAACCAACAAAGATTGTTTCTTTTTGTGTGTAAACTTTTACATGAGTTTTTACAGTAGAGGTCTCATACAGTATTTATCCTTTTGTGATTGACTTATTTCACTCGGCATAATGTCCTCCAGTTTCATCCATGTTATGAGATGCTTCACAGATTCATCATTGCTCTTTATCGTTGCATAATACTCCATTGTGAGTATGTACCATAGTTTATACATTCATCTGTTGATGGGCATCTAGGTTGTTTCCATATTTTTGCTATTGTGAACAGCGCTGCAGTGAATATGGGAGTGCATATGTCTATTCGTGTGACGGCTCTTGTTTGTCTAGGATATACTCCTAGGAGTGGGATTGCCTTTTGTAGTGCTTTTCTTTGTGGTGCTGACATTTTCTTTGTTTCTCTTACTCTTCCGTGCTGAGTTCCTTTGGTTTGTGGATTTTTTTTCCATTTCTTTTGTTTTTGTAGGTTTTGTTTTTATGAGACTTTATGTTTTTCTTCTTTATTTTGATGAGTAGGTTTGTTAACTTTCTTTATGGTACCTTGAAATTTACCGTTATCTTCCTAGATTTGAACCAGTCTATTGTTACTTGGTATCGCCTTGCCTTCCTCTCTATTAGAAGGTTCTATACCTACACCATTTATTCCCTCTTTTATTGTTCTGACATAGTTGTCATTTACAGATTAACCTCTCTGGTTCCCTTTTGTAATTCTTTTGGTTTTGCATAGTCCTTAAGAGTTAATTTCCTAGGTTGGTATCTGGCTAGTACAATCCTGTGTCCTACATTCAGCCTGTGGTCTGTCTGATGTTGTTTGTTCTCAGATGGAAGGACTCCCTTTAATAAGTCTTGTAAGTTTGGTTTGGTTTTTACATAGTCCCTTAATTTCTGTGTATCTGGAAATGACCTAATTTCACCATTGTATTTGAACAAGAGTTTTACAGGATATATTATTCTTGGCTGGCAATTTTTTTCTTTCAAGGTTTTATATATGGCTTTCCATTGGCTTCTCACCTGCATGGTTTCTGCCGAATAATCTGAGCTTAGTCTTATTGTTTCTCCTCTGTATGTGACTTTTTGTTTTTCTCAAGCTGCTCTCAGGATTCTTTGTCTTTGGTTTTAGTGAGTGTGATTATGATATGCCTTGGTGATTTTCTTTTGGGGTCTATCCTATATGGGGTTCGTT